AGGACGCAGGCCTCATGAATCTCAACGTTCAGTTCACTTGCTTGGATTCAGGTAAAACCGAGATTATAAAAATAACGATAAATGACTTGGATAACATGTCAGTAAAAGAACTGAAAAAGATTTTGGAGGTAGAAATTCAGGTACCTGCATGTGACCAAGCCATCTTTTTCCAAGGGAGGTCGTTAAGTGATAATTCATTCCCTCTTAAAAAGCTATATCTGCGTCAAGGTGATACTGTTTTAGTGGAATGCACAGCTCAGGGCTATCTTTCGGAGATGAAAGATCTTTTGGAAGAGGTTACAAGCTTTGCGGACTCAATAACTTGTCGGGATCAAAGCGATTTGTTGACGGTTTGTTCCAAAAAGGACATGAGCGATTATGTCTCTTACGACAACATTTGTAGAGTTCTAGAACATTTGTCATTCAGGTACTTCATTCCATGGAAGGATACGCAGTCTATTGTACATCGCCATTACTTTGTACAAGAAGGTGCTTTTGATTCTTTTATGGAAGTTCTGAAGTTTGCTAGTAGAAGGTACAGACTGGAAGAGAAACCAAACTCGAGGTATGCTTTATAGTTTTGTTATGTACTAGTCAATACCCCATTTTACTGTTACAGGTGAAAACGAGGTTGTGGTTGACCTTGTTATGATAAAACCCTTCCTGCTTTTTTAGGTAAATCATGTTGTTCTTACAATTGCTAATTTGTTAGTATTTTTTTAAACAAATTGTTTACAACAAAAGGAAAGAGGTTTGTATTAAAACTAGCTCAACCTCAGTCTCACAAAGGCTAGGTTACTAAACCCACAACTGTAAAATGGTCTATTCCAAAACTGCTGCACCCATGCCCCCCAACCCCTAGCCCTAACCTAACCCCTTACCCCCACCCCCCACCCCAAAAAAAGAAATTTTTGTCACGACTCTAGTTCATGGGGGAATGTTAATCAGCTGTAAATTAATGCTTAAATTAGTAGCCAGCTTCAAATAAGCATAAATTTCCTTCAGCCTGAAAGTCAATTATAAAAATAAGCATCCCCTTTTGAATGATTGGCGCAACTCTTCTCTCTTTGTTAAATATACGGTAAAGTCCATACAACCCCATTATCTGTAACGAATCTAGCATAATAATTTGCCACTACTAAATTTGGCATGAGCACTGTTTTCAGTTTCTCTAAGGACAACTGAAATACCCACAAGAAACTTTTATCATTTGGGAGCAATGCAAAAGTGGTGAATGAGAGTGGCACCTTTGTTCACTCAACATTTGCTGTTGTTTTCTTTTCTTTTTTTTATCATAATGATTATTTTTATAAAAACAAAAGTGATGAGAAACAGCTGCCCCGTTAACTACATGTAGGCATTAATTCTCACCATTTGCAAGAGCTTTAAGAGGGTCCTGGCATTTTTTCCATCTACATGCAAACAAGAAGAGATATTCTGCTTGTAAGCCCATCAGGTTTTAATGCAGCACTTGATTCAGGGGGTGAGGGGATTTATGGCGTTTAAAAGGAATGAAATAATAAATGAAGTAAATGTTTGATAAAAGCACCCGTTCTAAACAAGTGTGTCAACCACTTTTGTCCCTGATTGCAGCTTCAAATAAGCATAAATTTCCTTCAGCCTGAAAGTCAATTATAAAAATAAACATCCCCTTTTGAATGATTTGCGCAACTCTTCTCTCTTTGTTAAATATACGGTAAAGTCCATACAACCACATTATCTGTAATGAATCTAGCATAATAATTTGCCACCACTAAATTTGGCATAAGCACTGTTTTCAGTTTCTCTAAGGACAACTGAAATACCCACAAGAAACTTTTATCATTTGGGAGCAATGCAAAAGTGGTGAATGAGAGTGGCACCTTTGTTTACTCACACATTTGCTGTTGTTTTCTTTTCTTTTTTTTATCATAATGATCAATTTTTATAAAAACAAAAGTGATGAGAAACAGCTGCCCCGTTAACTACATGTAGGCAGTAATTCTCACCATTTGCAAGAGTTTTTAGAGGGTCCTGGAGTTTTTTCCATCTACATGCAAACAAGAAGAGATATTCTGCTTGTAAGCCCACCAGGTTTTAATGCAGCACACCTTTCCCACAGACAAGTAATAAGATTTTGTTTAAAACCAGGGCAATATATTGCTGGAATTCTTGAGTTTCTTTATTCAAATCCCTTTCCAGGAAACACTTTGGAAAAACTAGAGACAAAGAATCAGAAGCACTAGGCCGGCTAAAGGATTTAAACAATGAGCAGATGATGTTACAGATGCACTGTTTGAGTCTGCTGTGGAATTTCTCAGAGACACTACATGATCGTCGGCTTGTATTACAGAAGGGAGGGCTGCAACTAGTTATCAAGGCCTTGCTGCTGGATCCCACTGAATACTGTGTTCCTCTTACTACTGATGAATACTATGAAGTTGCAAGCATTAACGAAACAGCTGTTGGCTGCCTTGTCCAGTAAGATTTTAAGTTTTGCTGCTGTAACAAAATTCTCAAATCTGACAGGCTCTCAGCTGCTGTGATATGATAACAAAATTCTCAAATCTGATTCGCTATTAACTGTCCTGATTTCAGCACTAATAGGATAGTGTAATAGGAGAGTACGTGTCATGCCTTTAATTAAACAGTATTCGCCGGCAATGGGTGCGCATGCTTGGAATTTCTTGTGTTTTCTTCAGAAAAAAAGCCTAAAATATCACAAATTTTGTTATAGTTATGATTAATTGGTAACAGAACTTTGTGTTGTCCAATTCTGTCTGTAATCATACTCTTGATTGCAGCCAGCCCACGTACTTGTGTAAACCATTGGTATAGTCCATCTGCGAATTAGTGCACAAAAACTTGTTCAAATATCCTGCAGAGTTGCAAGGACATATGTGAGGGTTTTTGATAGGCGGGTTTCTTACGGGGTTCTTATGCACCTCACGATTGGCCTAATTCTTATGTGTGCGTGACAGTTGGGCGCAGTCATGTCAAATTTCACAGAAGGGAGTTGGCAAGGATCGTTTACAGTAAACAATGAAAGAGCAGTTTGAACTTTTTAAACCGTCTTCTGAACAAATTGGACTCCAATCAGTCCTATTACCATGGTAATTAATAGGAAAGTGTGCATCATACCTAATTAATTGGACAGTAAACGCCATTGCGTTGGAATTTGAATGTATTTTTTCACTCACCTCTGGTAGAACACTGTTGGACGATATTTTGTTATAGTTATGATTAATTGGTAACAGAACGTCTTGTGGTCCAGTATAGTCTGTAATCATACTTATTGTACCTGTGATAAAAACAAATCTGAATTCTTTTCCTGGGTCGTCTGATTTTGTTTATCACTCTTTTGATTACAGACAAAAGTAGAGTCCACTCAGTCCTATCACCATTTAGCCATTTTCAGATCAGTTTTGTCACTTTTTACCAGTATCCAAAGCATTAATTAGGATTTTGGTTTTCCTTCTGTAAACGTTTTTTTTCATTTTCAGTTTTTAAGTTCTTGAAAAGATACAGAAAGGCTGAATATTTTAGCTCCTAGATATCATAATGGCAAATTTATTTGTCACTGACACTAACTTTTAAGTTACTTTATAGAAAAAATCCTATGGTATTACCATGGCAACGAATTCTCTTTCCCAAAGCTTTTGCAATGTGCATTTATTTTTTAACAGGATTTTACAAAAAGAACTTTGATTTGTTTTGTGGAAGTGTTAATATCAAAGAAAGCCTTAATATCATATGTAATGTTCTGTTAGTCCCATTCATGCAAATGTTAATAGGGAACTTACATTATATTTTGATCTTTACAGGTATGCTGAATTTCCTGATTGCCAGGAGATTATTTCCAGCAGCCCTGACACTGTTGGTAAACTCATGTTTATGGTTGGGAGTCAATTCCAATTTCATCAAAAGACTGGACCAATCATTGNGCTAGACAGATAATGTTGTAAAAGAAAAAGAGTTTGGCAACCATACAGAAGCAAAAAAATTGAAATAAATATTAAAAGAGCAAACAACACTGAGCTAAAATACGAGGCGAAAAGAGGTGGGAAGAACATAAACCCTAACCATTTAAGGCTGGTGACTAGGAGAGGAGAGAAGGGAGCCGAACGTGGGTTAGTGAGCACACCTCACCTCACCTCACCTCAGGATTGTTGGTCATATTTTGATTGATATTTCAATTAATATTAGCTTCATGCACGTGTGCCAACGTCAATTAAGGACACTTTATCCTTAACCTTCACTTACACTAGACAAGAGACGTTGAATTTACATGAAAACTTCTCCTCTGGTAGACTTTCTTGTTTTTGGGTCCCTACAACTATTTTTCTTAGAGTACAGCCTTGCTTTGTGTCATTTAATATAGAGTTTATTAACTCTTTAAGCCCTAAGAGTGATCACAATCAAATTTCTCCTTATAACATCAATGCTTTGTTAAACAGAGTGGACATGAGAATTACGGACATGGTCACACAAGATAAATTTGCTTGATATTTTATCAACTTCTCCCTGTTACTTCTGTAGGAAATGAATAGGGGCTTAAAATGAAAATTCAAATTTTGATCTTCAGCTTTAAAGGGTTAATTCTATTCATTCATTTTTTAACTTTCATAGCTACTACTGTACCCTGTTTCTGGCAAGAATTAGAGCGTCAGCTTTGGTTCAGTTGGATCCACATGAAGGAAAAAGCGTAGATGACATAATTGCCTCTTTTCTAGCAACGAAGAAACCAACAGATATATCACGATGGGAAGAGAATCACAATTATGTATGGATAAGCATGATACCATTTGTTAGCTTAGGCTTCTCAGGTTTACATATCCAAAAGGAAAAAGATTCATCAGGCGTAAGTTATGCCTTAAATTCGGGTATTGAATGTGCCAATGACAACAGTCGTTCTGAGGAGCATGATCCATCCTTTGGGATGGCATGTCTAGACAAATTTGATGGCCCAAGTATGGTTTCTACCAACCAGAATAGTATTCTAAAGAAAAATGCTATGGAGAGTGCTGATATAGAAAGATATGAAAATTCCTGCAACATTAATGTGCCAGAGAAGAGACAAGAAACTATGCTTGGATCTACACAAACTCAAAAGCTTGGCCTCTTTACTTTGCAGCATATGTTGTACTCTAAGGGAAATCGACAGCTTATTGAAAATGAGCATTTGCTGTCATTTCTGGACTGTCTGTGTTGGCATGTGAATCCTGCAGATGGTGGATTGTTAAATGCAGAATTAAGGAAATATTGGCCTCCAAAACCACCTTCTCTTTCAGTGATATGCAAGTCCAGCTTATCATTTATTAATGGCTTTGAAACTGCTTTTAAAATGTGACAACTGTAGAAAATGGATTGAACAGAAGTAAAACTTTTAAAGAGTCTTACAAAGTTTGCCATAAGGGACAAATATTTGAATGATTGTATTGATTCTTTCAATCTTCAGATAGGGTAAGATTCAAAATAATTGTCAGTTAGGCAAAAATGAGCTTTTCTTGCAATTTGAGGGTGAAATATAATTATGCTCTGATGACTCTGTACAAATCCTTTTAAATTAGACTTAGATTTCTAATATTGAGCCAGTTAATATCATTAAATCATAATTATTTTAATTATTAGAATTTGTGGAAAGTCATTGGAACATAACACTGTTTTTTTATTATTATTTTCCTTTCACTTGAATTGTAAGAGTTTGCAGATGTTTTTGGCAAATAATCAGGGCTGTCATTAAGAGGCAGGGGCCGGGGATTTCTCCTGGCTACTTTCATCGGAAAATAGAAGAAAAATAAAACCAAACGAAATCCCTAGCTGTTTGATTCCCCGCCTACTGTACTTGTTGTACTTACCCAGCCACTTTGAAGTCTTAGTGACAACCCCGATTAATGATAGTGGACATTTAATTCCTGCATTCTTTTGGAATTGCATCAAATCGCACCATTAATATTTGAGTTTTTGTCACATCATCACTTTAGGACTATAGCTATTATTACCCCTTATGGAAAGCCCTTTCTTTCCATCATCCAATTGTACCAATCAATAAAAATAATATTCAAACTATAAAAATGAATTGATGAAGAGAAATTTTTCCAAAATATTTCGATTTATTTGACTTCCACAGAAGGAATGCTTCAGTTGAGAATATGGCATGATACCTTTACTACTATTTCAAATGAATAAAATACTTAACAATTATTCTGCGAGTGCGCATTGGATATGAGTTGGCTATAATCATCTCATATCCAACAAGTGCGAGTGGATTAATTGATTTATTAAAAAACGCCTACAAAATATCAAGAATTCTTCCTGACTTTATTTATAAAAACAACCGACTTTCAGCTTGTTTTTAATTTTGAGCAGACGCATACAGTTACCATATTTGGAGAGTATGATATAATGGTTCATATACCATGATGGCTAAGCCAATCAGAGCTCTAGAATTGCATTATCCAATGATTCAGTTTTTAATAAAACCTATTCTACTACTTTTTGGTATTCTATTAATTCTGCTGTCAATTACGCTAAACTATACAATGTAAATTCAGGTCTTCGGAGTGATACTACATGTACATAAGATAATTTTGATGTCCTTTCTTACATGTGTGTATAAACAAAAAAAATACTTCTACTGTTCTTAATTTACTTCTTTTAATTTTTTGCATTTTACTTAACTTTATTGTGTCAAAAAATGCATCTACTATTTAACAATAATTTACAATGTACAAAATTCTATAAGAGTAAAAGTAAAAATAAATTGACTTACAGCATAAAATGATGTTACATATGGTTAATAAATTAAAAAGAAGCTACTCATAAAGCTATCTAAGCCAGGTGATTCTATCAATTTTGACATAGCATCTGTAGCAGGAGCATGGGACGTTAAGGATGCAAATAAGAATAGCGAGTTTGGCAAGCACAAGGAGAGAGTAAACCTCCCTCCTTGTATCTTACTCCCTCTTACATGTATGTCAATGTGCATCACGTATCTCATATCCCATACTCCTTACATGTGTGCCCTCGATTCATAAAACCCCCTTAAACAGAGTGTGTTGACATTTCCGTACATAAAATACAACAATCATCTGGATCGTTTTCATCCCGTATATTGTTTTCTTATGTTTGTGACTGGACCACTAGACCTCATTTTGGAGTCAAAAATTAATTTGAATTTTGCACAAGCTGACCAAGCTCAGGTGGAGTGTGGGGGCTGATCATGATAAGCATGAATATGAAAGTCAGAAACGGTCTACTGCAGCTATGCAATTTCCAGAACAATAGGTTGGAGTTACTCTCCAATAGTAGGTTCCAATGGAAAAGTCATTCCATGCTTGATTCTCTTAATCAAATACAGCTTGTCACGACCAGCCTGCAAAAAGACAAACAATTCTGTTTCAAGTGTTGCAAATAATTTCTTTATTTACTAGAAATACCTTATCGGGAAAATCTTGTGAAGCTGTTAAGGGTCAGCAGTGAGAAGAAAGGGAAACAAGACAAAGGAAAAAATATGAACTAATAAAAGCTAAACCTAAACAGAAAAAAACATGTGCAAAAAAAACGGGAAAAGTCCCTTCTCTTCAGCTCCAACCCAAATTCCCTTTTTTTAAGTACCTGAGCCCCTTGGAATAATCGCAAAAAAAAGGTGAAAGGATGCGAAGTCTATTTTTCAGCAACGATTTCATGAACATCGCCATTGTCGGATCGTATAGTAAGGTCCCTTATTATAAACACGCTCCACGGGCCTTAAGTTATACCTTTGCATTATAACGAAATTATATGTGCCAGAGTCCATTTAAAGAGTGTTGCCATTAATAAGTAGGCCTTCTTCAAGGGAAGTTATTTATAATTCCCATTTGGCCAGTGATATTAATTTTGGCAACAGTTCTTATCTAACGAGTACTCACCATTGCAATCTGTTCTTTTAACAGTTTGATTTTCTTTTCATTGGAATCCTTCAGCATCTTCTGATAGTACACAACAATTCTGTGAATGAATAAATCCGTGTTAACTTTATTCTTACATCAAAAGGGCGTTTAAAAAAGAGTTTATCACAATACCGTAAATGACCTAATAAATACCCAGGGGTCTATAATTAATTTTAGGACAGAGTCCAAGCAGGGGCCTTTAAAAGATAGCAGGCATTCAAAAGAGAGAGGCGACTTTTCTCATAACTGTAACACGCTCAACAAAACTAATATGCTTTCAGCGAAAATATCAAGAGAGTTCAGTTTATTAAAAAACGCGGGATATCCAGAGATCCATATCGCTCTTTCAGCTCCAACAAAGACTGCTTGCAGTCCGCCTTTTCTCTTAAAATCCGTATAATTCTCAACTTTGCCACTCGCCGCTCGCATACTTGGGTTTCTCTTGCAGTAACTTTGCAAAGAAAAATAAGAGACTGCTCGCAGTCTAGCTCCAACATCGATGTCAGAATTCTCGCTCAGGGTTATTGTGTTGCCATCGTTAGGTCTATCCATACTTTAAACTTGGCATTGAACAAGATCAAAGTCGCACAGCCTTGTTAATCAAGCAAGAAACTGAATGAACTGAATGATTTTGGTCCTTTTTGCTAATTTCTAGTATTTTGGGGTAATTCTCATAGGGAACATCTATTAGACAGGAGGCATATACTACAGAGGGTGGTCTAATACAATTTTAACAACATAGAGGGGGCATTCATTGGATAAGAGGCGTTTATTTGGAAGTGGGCATTTTTATGGTAATCTTAATCTCACAAATGGCTTATCAGCATAATATCGCAGTTTTTTTTACTTTCCAGACATTAAGCATTAAATACCTAGTTAACAAGAACTATTATATTCAATCTGATGATCTGCCACCTTCCACCACAGGAGTAGAGGGTATAGCTGAGCATTTCTTCTTTCTGTTACTCACCCAAGAATACAAAACAGCATGGTGATAAAGCTTGCTGATGATGCATAACTGATAACTTGTTGCAACCAGTCTGGAAATGTGTCTACTGTTTCTTCAATAACTTGATACATGAACTGCTTTCCTCTGCAGAATGGAAAATTAACAGTTCAATATATAGTTCATTCATAACTATTATCTGATGATGTGAAAAATTAATAAATCAGAATAATTATTTTATTTGACTAAAGGGCCTTGATCTTTACATGGAGGTGGGGGACTCCAAATAGGTGAGGTAACATGCGGCGGGTCACCCCACCTATCATGTAAACGTGATCAAATTAAAATGAGAGATTATATGGACAGGCGGGTTATCCCACAAAGCAGGTTACCTCACCTACCTGGGGTCCCCCACCTCCATGTAAATAGGCCCTAAACAAGCTCAAGTAATTTGAGCAAATCTCAGTCAATGCAATGGCTGTCCACTCATAACGTTCACAAGTGTGAATCTAAAGGACATGTATCCTTCCTATTATTGTGACTATTTTGTGCTAACATGTACCTATCAAACATGAAACTTCTAATCATTGTAGCCAATCATGATTAATTTTGTCATCTTTTAACGACATTAACAATGTATATTTTTAACAATTACCGCCATGATGAACTCAACATTTGAATAGTTCTACTCAAACAATTAGAATTCTTTATCACTGACAAGGACAAAGCCTTCCAAGGGCTTCATTATTCAAACCAAGCTACAGCCCATTCTTTAATATTTTTTTAATATAGCTATCAAAACCTAATAATGCGAGAAGTTTTAATAGACTGAACTTACTTGAATGGACCACACAGTAGTGAAGGAGAGGTCCTGTCAAAAGGCAAAGTTTAGAATGATCAATACACAAGCAGTACTTAAAAACACGGTCCCCCACAATTATTTTTTTACTGCACCTGAAAGTGCTGGTTTCTTTGAATTAAATTTTCACAATCATTTATTTTATTTTTTGGGATTTATTGTACAAGAACCAAGTTTTTCCCATTTTTGAGAACTCACAGTCATCAAGGTCTTTAACTACTTAATATCATTCAAATATTTGTTCCTTTCTGATTGGTGCAAATCATTCGCTTTATTATTGGTATTTAAACCAGGTACTGTTGATCCTAAAATTTGGAAGATGTTTGCTGAACAATAAAGTTGAAATGAAATAATTGTCTTCATAATCAACAGTAAAACTAACAGATAGGGGAACAGTTGTTTAGCTGTTTTGGCAGTGCAGAGCTGGAAAAAATGGCAGATGGAAGGATTTAAGAAAACAATTTATTGGATTCAACTAGTTTTCTCAAAGGGTGTTATACCCTCCTTGGTCTGCATAATTCTCAATCACTATCATATAGAACCTGCATCTTAAATGTTGCTTATTACAAAGTATTTATAAACCAAAGTGCTTGTGATGCAGAGGCTTTCAAAATACTGCATCAACATCCAAGTCTCAACTGTTAACCTTTTTTTGTCTAAGACAGGTAGCTTTTCTTCATATTATTATTTTCTGTCCCTAAATGTTAAAAAATTAATTTCCAAGCTATAGCAGTCATGGGTCTTTGACTTGAAAACCTGCCCTTGTCCCACCCTCCCACTCGCCTACCACACCTTACTGATGAGTCAATAATACTGATAATATTATTACTCACACATCTTCCGACATAATAGTATATCCTATGACAATCAGTGATAAAACAAAGGAGACAGCAAGTAAAAACAGGAACAACAAGTTCATCTTGGATGCCCTGAATGGTCTCATGGATGGACGGCAGTTCATGACTACACTAGTCTGTAAAAAAACAGGGAATAGTAAAGGCTTCATCACTATCTTTATTATAATCATTTATCATCATTTTTATTATTTAATTATTTTTAATTATAGGCACATTGAATGACTCTTGCATCGTAAACGTGGACAGCCAATAATACTCCACAGTTAGAAAGGGGAGGCTGTGACAGCTGTACTGGGAGCCTTCTTACCCGTTAGTAAATCCTGGTTTATCCAAAAAGTACTGTCTTCAACGACAAGCTCTGTCTTTACACTCATTTTTTCCTGTAAGTGCATGTTTTCACACAATTTCTTTTACATGATACCCAAATGACCTTAAGTATATTAATAATACTGGCAGGGGTAACACTAAGCCACTCCATAAATGAACATTCCATAGTCTTTTCTTTCCTTCTACAGTGAAATTCTACACTTTTTTTTATCTCTCTGTCCTTGCTGATGATGCTTAGTTGTGACACTTAGCAGTGGATAGCATACCTGAGTCAACTATTAAAGCATCAATTTGTTAAACATCTCTTTACACTCATTTGAAATCCATGATCAAATAAATTATTTGATGATACAGTTGAACCTCCTGTAAGCAACAACTTAAAATGCAAAGAATAACTGATTTAGTAATCACCTACAGGATGTGGAGAAAACAAATCATGGCATACGTCCCTGACGTAAAAAAATCCCCAAAGAAGCACAACAAATCATGGCATACGTCCCATAAGACGCCAACATTTTCGTAGAACATATCCTGTTCATGTCATTTCTGTGGCTGTAGCTTGAAGATGCAGATTTATTTCAGTCTTTATTATGCTTTATAGAAGGACTATATTTTAATTTCAGTAAACTGTAATGAAGAGGTTTGGCATCTGTCTCCAGATTAACTGTCTGGTTACATAAAGGCCCCAGCATTTTCAATTTAGGACTCCTTGTTCTTTTGAACTGGGACTCATTGGTTATGGACAGAGTCTCATGGATTTCCACAAGATGAGTCCCAGGGCTCACCATAACTATTTGTAACAAAATCACTGGAGGTTCAACTGTATGTGAATTTATAAAAGTGCACATACCCTCTTTACATAAAACAAAATCCACAGCTTTATAACTTGAATGAGTGGTAATAAAGGACTGTAGAATGTACCAATCCTACACAAGAAAATTAATATAAATCAGTACTCTGAGGCTGACACTAAAACTAGCAAAATTAGCTGTATTTTTGAGTATGAGTCTTTTGCATGATGAATTTTATCACTGTTTGTATGAACATTATCAACTTTCTTGACTTATGTACACTTTACATATTTTAAATTTTAATATCAGGTTGTGCTTAATTATCAGGATTTGTAAAAAATGACAGGAAAAATGAAAGTGCAGGGAATGGAAATTTTCTAGGAAAATGCAATTTCCCTAAAAATCTTCAAACTGAACAACTGGCAAAACAAGTAAAAGATTCAACGAACAATTTACTAAGCACTCCCAATCACATGCCCAACAAACTTCTTACATGTGCTTGGCTCACAGTGGGCTATTTGCAGCTTCTAGTCACATGATCGTATTAAGGCTGTTACTTAGATTTCAAGTTGGCAGGTATGTCAAGGGAATTGAACAGTTTGGAAGTTCTTCTGGAATAAATTGTTTGTTAAAATAATCCCTCACTTATTTTGCAAATTTGGTATCAAATAATGATTTAGAGGTAGCACATCCACAAAGTGGCTCTCCGTCTACCTGATTCATGGTCGAATTAGAATTTGGAAATGTTGGTTTTTGAGGAGAGGGGAAAACCAGAGTGCCCGGAGAAAAACCTTTTGGAGCAAAGGAGGGAACCAACAACAAACAAAGTCAACCACATATGATTATAATAACCTCTGATAACTGCAAATAACAATTAATATGGATTATTCAGAAAAGCTTACCAGCACAGACACTGGGAATATATCAGGTCAATAACATTCCTGGAAATATCAAAACCAGGAGGACCAACTGTTTCCTTGCACCAACGAATATTTACTGCCAGAATTCTACAATCAATCAGACCAAACTGTTATGAGCAATCCTGATATTAATTATTATTTATTTATCAAAAAAAGAATCACTGAGTACAGGCTTACCATTATCTTAAAAAGAGAGAGGAAAGTAATGATGGGTTAAGGTAATTAACTTTGAACATTCAACCCTTAGCTTCCACTCCTAATAGTCAAGCTAATGTAAAAAATTCACAAAATTAATTTAAAGTCCAAATTTCTTTATGTATTTCTTAGACATTAATAGCAGAATGAAAAAGGTTTGCCAAGCTTAAAACTGAGTGGCAAATAATGACAGGTAAATTTTTTTACAGATTTTACCTATAAGGATTAGAAGGATTAATTGGAAATAATTATTATTTCCAGTTAATCCTTCTAATCCTTATAATGGCTAATGCCAAAAAAATTCCAAAAAAGTCCAAATTTCTAGCTATAAGTAAAATCTTTACAAATAAATAGCAAAATTTAAAAAGTCTGTCAATTAAAAGAGGCTAGGTTTCATTTGAATGGTCACATACTGGAATTTCACTCACCGATATTGTTCAGAAAAGGGTTTATGACAGTGTTAGTTCAAATAAAATAGTGACTACAATTAAATAGTACAAAATTAATAGAAGTTCACACCTTCGCACAAATTCACCAAAGAAAGTTGACACCAGAAGGAAGGCAAAGTCCACGATGATAAGTCTGTAGAATGCAAATCCAACATAATTCTCCCAGCACTGAGTGATATCCTTGGTACCAAAAGACAGTTTTTTACAATTATTAGAAAAGTGAAGAACTTTTAGCAGAATAAGTATGACAGTCAAGAAAACAATACTTAATAAACTGATCATTAATGTGAAAATGTTAGTACGTCTTCATACCATAGGACTAATAAATCTATTCAAAATTCTGAAAAATTTCAGTCTCCCTATTAAATACTGAGCATGTCACAAAAAAATAGGACAATGCTAGGAATCAAGTGAAATATGGAATTTAGTAGTGAAAAAACAAATATTATCATTTGATTCCTTACTCCATCACATGTCCTCCCAGAGCCCAATAGCTTTAAGCCACTACGACATCTCTGGATGTCAATAAAGAGTAGCACTGTTACCATGGTCACTGTTGTTAACATCATTAAAGTGGTTCTGCAATAAGGACAATAATATAAAAAATTATGATAATTATTATGGGCCAGTACAAAACCTGGAACCCCCATTTGGACCCCATCTGGACCCCTTTTTAGAAGTAAAAAAAAAAAAAGAAGAAAGCGAGAATTTTTTATTTTTGTTTTTGCCAAATGCACCTCACAAACTAAAAAAACAACAACAACAACAACAAATTATAATTATTAAATAATGTCACGATGGAATTCGTACCTCATATCTCAAGCAAACAAGTTGCTAAGAAAATTTGACAATAAGCATTACCATGTCAATCGAAACTGTATAATTGAGCACAATCCCCATTTTGAAGAGACCAGCGTCCAATTGTCAGTGCCTCACACAATTGACTTCGAATTAAGTGAGTTCATGGTGTCACGGCTGGGTGCTTAGTGCACAATTGATAGGCCCTTATCGATTAGGCTAGTAAAAGTAGCATATTATGCAACTAGCAGTGCCTGATTTTTTTTTATTTATATGCTCGTTTTTCGAAATTGTGTTACTTTTTTTAAGTATGCGATCATGTTTTCACCTCACGTGGCCCCCTCTCTAGCAGTGCTGGCAATGCTACTTTTATAAAAGGTACAAAACTATGCTCGTTTTTCCAAATTATGCCAAAAATTATGCTGGCACAATCGATAAGGGCCTAGTGATTGATAAAGAGTTAAGGCTTGCCACCCCTCTTGGTAAACGCCCAAGCTTGGAACTACATATTATTTAGCACAGACGCTTCTTAATTACGCTTCTTTCTTGGAAATGGTAGAAACAAATAACGTTTGTTTGTGTGTTGGTGCAGGTTACTGTTCATTACCGTGTTCTTTTCGAGCGTCGCGTTTTTAAGAATGATATGGCGAGCAGTGCAATTAAAAGTTATGTATTCATTGGTACAAGCATATTGGTATTTGGTCTACTCAATGCAAAAGTGGCTAGAACTGTACTCGCCAAATTGATTTTTTTTTCTTTAAACTCTACTTCTGGGGGGTCCAGGTCTTATCGTACTTGCCCAATTATTATTATTTCTATTACTATTATTATTAAAAAGAAGTGACTTTATAAAACATTTAGCTATTAAAAAATTGCATAACTGAGACTTTTCATAACATTTCATAAATGAGGCAATCAAATAGTCCATGGAACTTCTCAAGAACATGAAATTGACTCTTATGTCACCAAGAGCTTCTAAAAAATGTTCACCGATAGCTGAATAGTTGTGGTCAGCAAAGCGTTGATGAAGGTGTCGGACTGTACAGCCAACATAATCCACATTACACATAGACTGCAAAACAGTCCGTATTTTTGCGTATTCAAGTAAGCGAGCAGTCAAACAACTGCCACACTTTACTGATTTCTTTACTGATTTTGAGAAAAAAACCGACTGTTTTACAGTCTACATTACACAGATCACATGCAAATTTATAAACAAGGCAATGATGACTTATAATACTCAGCTCAATTTCTTTCGGCTTAGGGTCTAAGCTCCAATTTTTTGTTCACAAAAATAGGTGCAAAGTGACATGTCTACATGGCTTTGAAAATGCAAGAGCAGACCACTGCTGCTGCTGAGTTTCTCACTACATTGAATGGTCTACACCCAAGCCTGATCAACTTTACAATGGAACTTCCCTTTCATTGGAACTGAGATAATTAAAAATGGAAAAGATCAACATGAAACCCGTGTTTACAGAAAGTGGACCTTGTTGCTAAACTCTTTGTTTTATTTTTTAACATATTTTTAAATGTTACTTTTCATTGTAATGAACTATTGTTTTTCTTGTTTGTATAGAATGTTGATACTGTACTTTTTTATTTGATAATGTGTGGTTCCAGAAAATATCCATACCCCTCCCACGGAAGACTCTTCGATTTGCACCCCCCCCACCCCCCAGGATTTTCCGTTCCAAGGGGATCTTTGATGACCCCCCTCCTCCCAGGAATTTCCAGAATTTTTAAGTGGGAACTTCTTCATGTCAAAGTGGTTTTGGTACTTTAAAAAAACAGAAGGTGAATACTAACTCATTTACGAAAACATGGTTGAATTTTATTACAACAACGTAAACTTTTGTGAAGGTTATTATTCACCTAAACTTTTAGCTTCTTCGCCATCAAATTTGCAAATTATGTCTGTCTTGTTTTTATGTAAGGCCTTATAAGCTTAAACAATTGGGTTACAAAGTTTAAAACATTGATTGTTCTACGTTTTTGTGCTTACTCCGACGCGAACATTATGAAGAAAACTTTACTTTCACTCGCCTAAACAACTTGGAAAACGATAGCTAAAAAAACCCAGAAAAACAGAAACTTACAAGTTTCCTTTCTGGCTGTTTATTTGTCTACACATTTTGTCAGTTTCTTCAGGTTGATTCTTATTTAAGGACCAAAAATTTCACTGACACACGCCAAAGCGCTAGGTTTCTTGAGCATCGTCACGATTGCTGAAGTAATTTTACTAGCCAGATAGCCGGGCCTTCTGAAGATCAAGCAAGAAATGGGAACGAAAGTACTCTTGTCTCATCGCAATTTTTTACGAGTTACTACCCCGAATAACCACTGATAAAGCACGAAATGGATCAAAAATGCATTTCCTGCATGTGAAGGTAGCGAAAAGTGATGCTCAGTGAACAGATCTAGAAGTGAAAGCACTACAATGTTGCTCGGATGAAAACAAGATGAAGTTGGAAGTCTGGGGACAAGAATCCAGTCATGTCCGCCATATTAAATCGATTCGACTTCGTTCCAAAGACACATCGTTCTTCTGGAGATTGTAGCACTAGCTAACTCAAAGAAAAACAGAAACATTAAAGCTAATGATGTTAACCTCATCTCAATGGCCAGGAGTACTGATTTTTGTTTCAAAACAACGTACGTATGGTTTTGTGCTTACGATCGATTGTACGTTGCTTTCAATGTTATATCCGTGGTTTGTCATCCTCTGGAAAAGTAGTTTCCCATAAACGTCCCCTACCCCTTGGAAATAACTGCCTTTGAACCCCCCCTCCCCCTCAGAATTTCCAATGATCTTCCATGGGGTGGGTATGGATATTTTCTGGAACCACACAATAATGTCCAAGAATGTCGAAACATCGTACATTTTTTAATTTTTTCTAAATTAAATTTTTCTTAAAATGTTTTTAAGAAAAGTTTTTTTATCCAATTTTTGTAGCTAAATTATTATTATTATTATTATTATTATTATTATAACTATGATTATGATGATGATTATTACTATTATTATGATACATCAAGTCTGTAAAATTTATCCTCTTACAGTCTACAATGTATGTTTAATTCATCAATCTAAAGACGTTAACCTTTTCACACTGGATGTTGGCAAGTTTTTTTCTGCTTTTAGTTTTTTTTTTAACAAAATGAGGTCCATGAAGTAACAAAACAGAAGTAAAGGATTAATCTTAATTATGGCTGAAACAGCTTTTTTTTTAGCAAGACAAAGCCGGTGATACTGAGGGAAGAGGCAAGATGGGAATTTCAAGAAAGCAAGAAGAAGGCCAACCTCCCTTAAAGCCCAAATCCCGAGGCATAAGCATTTTTTTAAAAGAAAAAAAGAATCTTCATACTCCCTGGGATAAGCTTTGCACATGAATATCAGTAAAATACCCTGAGGTGGGATTAAAAAATAAAGGCAAATATCCTACCCAAGGCTCATCAAAAAACCAAAACTGATCAAAATCTGTTGGTACTTATTTTATATCTTGTTTACCACTTACCTTGCCAAATTGACATTAATGGTAGTGCGGGGACTTCTGTATCTTTCCAAACTTGCAATAATGCGAAAGGCCATTGGCATAATAAGGTTAATGCCTGACACCACCAAAGGGAGGAGTAATTTTTCTAGCACATCATCTTGGTCCTGGTGATAGAAAAAATCACACACACACGTGCACGCACATTCACAAGCACGTTAGAGATTTGCTCCACTGAGGGAGAGTTTGACATCAGTGTACAAAGAAAGTCTTGTCTGATAACCCAGGGCTGGTAAATGTGGGTAGTAGGCTGGAGAATTCTGTTCTTAACTTTCCCAAGGGGAACAGTGAATTTTGGGGGGCAATTAAAATTGCAGAACTGTAATTAATTCTGCCTGTCATAATCAATATTTTTTTGTCATTTTTTTTTTTTTTCAGGCCAGTTAGAATGACTCTTATTGGGCTAGTAAATGCTAGCTACAGCTTGCCTGAAGGGTATATAAAACTGACTTTGTTAATCTTTGCACTCTGGACATTAAATCAAGTCAGTCATTTGGAGCCTGCATTTTCCACACACCCCTCCAATTGGATGGCTATCCACTTTACATTCATGAACAGTGTTTTTTGTTTTTTGGATGTTTTTCATGCATACCGTTGAAAGTGAAAGACTTGCAGAGAAGTGGATGAGATAAGCAGCTCCAGCCATAAGTGCGATGACAATAAAATTGGTGAAAAATCGAAGCCAAAATAAGTTACACTTCTCACTCAGAGTACGATCATAATTGTAACTCTGTTCAGCAATTGCCTCCTACAGAAAGACAAAGTACATTTACCGCATTAGATTTAGTGTATTTAATAGTAGGTAGGGGAAGCAACCCAAAGGTGATGGCAGGGAAAATGCCCCTTATAGTGCATTCCCTTTCTGAAAAACCTTATCATGATTATTCCAACTTGCTCAATTTGTGAAAATGGTTGAATGCTTAGGGAGACAATTAAATTTCAGGCCCAGGTTTTCAAAAGGTGGATAGGGCCATCCATCAAAGAAATCTCTATCAACTGGATACTGCAATTGGTTAATTTCCTACTTATCCACTGGATAGTGATTTATGCGGTGGATAGTGCTATCCATCTTTTGAACAACTCAGGGGCCCCGATGGGGAAAAATAATGCTGATGTGTTTAACAAAGTGGATGTCCTGACACATACAAAATGCCGACCCATAGCGGATAACATCTTTCAGCACTTAACACTGATTTTCAATACTTTTTGAAAATGAAAATGTAAATTTACATATTACTGGTAGAACAGGAATGATTGAAGAGTCCAACTTGAACTTGCATTTAATGGGTAAACAAGTCTTTTGTTTTATAGCTGAAACTTTTTTCCCAGTTGGTTATATACTTTGAGGTCATGTGACATCTAACAAGAATGAAACTGTTTCCTGCCAAAATCTCTGAGCGAGCAACATTGCAAAATCTATGATGTTAGGGTAACAGCTACGTGCACTGTTACCCACCACTGTTGACTGATGCCCACCGATACAGCAAGGCTAATGAATTTCCAGCTACAAAATTTCAAGCTATGTAACAAATCACTTAAAGCCTGGTCCCTCAGGAAAAAGTTAATTTTCTTCCCAAGAATCTCAATGTTTCCCAAGGCAGAGCCGAGGGAAACAAAATTAACTGTTTCCCTCGTAATTAAGTGTTTAATATTGTACCATGTAAATACAAACCTGCAGTTCATTGAATACACTCTTGTGTTTTAATAATCCTGCACTCTTGTCCATAATTCCATAATCCCAGGAACAAAAGACCTTTGAAGTAAAGAAACTGAACTCATCTCCTGAATAGATGTAGTTCTCTCGGTAGGAATTTGCCATACTGAAAATAAAATTATCATACAACTCTTTTAACTATGATGTCCATACTTTTCATCTTATTCTGCTAAACAAACCCCAAACTACCAAAAACACAGTTACATGCATGACGTACAGTATCTTGAACATCTAATAATAAAATCTTAATAGTTACTGTCAGTGTGTCATGCTGTCTGCCTGTCTTTCAACCTGTCTGTCTCCTGTCACGTCTCAATATTAAACTCAATGGAAATTGTCAAGCTGGTAGTAATTACCAAAATTACTATACAGTCGACTCTCTCTTAACGGACACCTCTATAAGACGGACACCTCTGTAAAACGGACACTTAGAGTTGGTCCCTGCCTTTCTTTAATCCCTTTATTTGACTCTCTATAAGACGGACATCTCTCTAAGACGGACACTTAGTGCTGGTCCCAAAGGTGTCCATCTTGGAGAGAGTTGACTGTATGACCATATATACAATTTAGAGGTAGATTGATCATAAATGCACCAGCCCTATATTAAACTACGGTATATAAAATAATGTTGCTATCAATCCCATCTCAGTTTAGCTATATTCTTAAGTCTTCATATATATACCACATACTATACCTGTATACAAGCATGATTAAGCATAGCAGAAGATATCCACCACCCACGAGCAGATATGCCAATGGCATGTTGTACTGTGGATTGTCCTCATCACCAATCTTTTCATTTGTGTAGGCTCCATAATAAAGCTCAGATTTGCTAAACCACCCCTAGTTTATTAAACAACAACCACAAACTCTTACTCAGTACGCTTACTAAAGTGACTACTAATAGTGAACAATAAGGAAATTTGGTAACCTTTTGAAGGATGGTCATGCACGTGACTTTTTAAGCCATCCATCTGCCCATTCTATTCTCATGATTTAATGAGGAAAATGTCTAAAAAGTCATTCCTGACACTGAAAGTGCTTAAAATCTTGAAAGTATAATTAAAGATCCTTTGATTACTGGTTCACCCCAGTGTAACATTAAATTAAATTATTTTGGCTGAAAATTAAAATTAAAAATAGCATTCATTGAAGTGACCCCCTTTAAACAAGATTTATGTTGAAACTGTTCTTGGAACACGTTTTCTGGGGAAAAAATGATACCATACACTGTACAATAAAAGCTAATGGCTGCAAGGCCTGCTTCCAGGAAAAGAGAGGACTTTTGCTATTACTTAATGGTGTGAATTTACACAGTTGTATGATCTCAAACCATGCATATATCCAACTGAATAACCAACAATTTAAGAAATTTTATCATCAATAAAAAAATGCATCATCTCTTCCTGTGAAAGGGACTGAAAAGAACATAATTATTTACAATAATTATCAATATTCATACCTCTCCTGTTAATAACTCCCAGCCTGTAAAGGAAGCATTGTTGTTTTTCACACTTATGTCATGGATGGCTTGAGGTATGAACAGGAAAAAGATTGTCAACAGCAGTATCACAATGTTAAGTAAAAATAACCAGCGAAGTAACACAAAATATGAAAGAACTCCTGATCCAAACATTCCTGTTGAAAGAAATCACAACGCATATTACACATTATCATGAATCATTAAAACTATCATTTTCATTATCAAAAACAATGCTAAGGAAAAATCTCACTGACAAAAAAAAAGGTGTTCAAAAATTGCTGAATAATTGTTGCATGCAGGCCTTTTTAAATTTGTAATGGCAATTAAAGCACAATACAATAAAGAGGATAAAGTGAAAAAATAGTCACATTTCCATGAGAAAAAGCCCACAATTTCTGAAAATGTCAACTTTGCTGGGGGTCGCAGGATACTCTATAAAAGCGAGGATATTTATTATTATCACCAAAAAAAAGAGCTGGAAAAACGATCTGACATTGATGTGGAATGCACTGATTTTACTATTACTTTAAAAACCTGAGCATCAACAAGTGGACAAAAAATATTACTTTCAATTATATCTCCTAATATTTATAATCCTTTTCTACTAAACAGCTTCTTCTTACTACAGATCGTTTGAAATGGATAGCTGAGTGGTTATTAATTTTTTGGATCAATGTGTAATTTGGGCACTGGCAGGGGTATTTTGCAAAACACCGAACAACAAATGCAGAACCCCAAATGACTCTGTGTTTAGTGATAATTCTTAGGGTAAGGAAACTGAGTCAATCAGGTTCCATTTAGGGTCATTAAACTTGGAAAATGGACCTGAAACTTGATTCACTCCATTTCCTAACCCTAATCACTAAACTTCAGAGTCATTCACCATTCTGCATCCGCTGAATGCAGAATGCCGAATAACTCTCTGAAGGTTAGTGATTAGGGTTAGGAAACTGAGTGAATCAGGTTCCATTTAGGGTCATTCAAACTGGGAAAACTGACCTGAAACTTGATTCACTCCATTTCCTATATAACCCTAATCACAAAACCTCAGAGTCATTCAGCATTCTACATTCAGTGTTCGGCGTTCTGCAAAATACCCCTGCCATTTGGGCACCCCTTAGACTGTTCACAGTCCCCTATTTTTCCGTCTGATCGTCGAGATCGAGCGCATCTCACCGTTAATGGCGGCCATCTTGATTTTTAAATGTACCGAGGGGGCAGGCGTCGGGGATTATAGCTCTAGGGGGTGGGGGGCGAGAAAAATATTTTTCTCGCCTCCTCGCCAAACCGTTCCCCGCCCCCTCAGTAGATTTGATACTCATCCCCAGGTTAGACTCAGTACGACTGAAAATCAAGATGGGCCGCCATTAACGGTGAGATGCGCTCGATCTCGACGATCACACGGAAAAATAGGGGACTGTGAACAGTCTAGGCACCCCTAGGCTGAGTATATGTCGGTTGTCTATCAATCGAAAATGACGACCAACCAATGAGTCAACATGTAGACCCACACCTGACCACGTGTCGGACGAGATGTTGATTGATAATGTATGTTGATGGGGTATGGGTTGATATTTTGGTATACTGGTCAACACCCCATCAATACGGCAAGTGTCAAGTGTCAGCAGAATATTGGTCGACTGTCAGTGGCATAACAGTCGACTGTTGCATAATGTGATTTGTGTTAATCAGAACTGACATGTAAGAACAAACAATTACAGCTCACAGAAACTCATAACAAAGGCAACCACTTATATTTGTAAGAAATCTATTTTTTTGCAGAAAAATATCAAACAGACACTCAGTACAATCATGCTCTCTCATTAGACTGGCCAAAGCTGCCATAAAGTCCCTTAAAAGTTGCTGCCTGGACAACGGACTCAAAAAAATTTGGACTGACATGCAGAAAATATAACTCCAGATGAAGAGTCCACCAAGTATCAGTAAAGTATCATCCAAATGTTGGTGGCCTACAGATCAACATGACAGCCGACATACCAACCAACACTCATGGCTGATTATTGGTCGACAGTCATTTCCGCCAACTCTCGGTTGACTATCAGTTGACATATTGGCCAACATGTTAGCTGACATTTGCATGACTGATGTTCACCGACAAATCACTTGATAGCCAACCTTCACGTTGAGTGAAATGTCCGCTGTCATGTCGATCAAGTATTAACCAATACTGTTGACCAATACTCAGCCGACGAGGGGTGCCCAAATTACACAGGATAAAAGTTTTTAACCTTTGATCTATTCATTATACTAGAAAGTATATAAAATGGTCAAAGATTTTTAAAAAAATACACTGTAGAGTAAAGTAATAGGATAACACTGCCTGTCTGTCTTCAAAAATACCAATTAATACCCATAACTTATTTATCTTACAACCCACGAAGGCTTCTGCAATTTGTTAAAGACTAGCTGCAGACTCACCATGGATTAATTTGAGGTGACTCCTCCACAATTCCAAAGAATATAAAATTTCTCTTGATCCATCCTTAAAATGCTGCCAGCCCTGAAAATAATATAGGTTTGTCAGATGAACAGCAAAATAATTATGATGCATGAAAGTAAAGTAGCATAACAAACAACACATAAAATTTTAAATTAAAAGTGCAGATACTGTACTTTATGAAATGCCTCACTTAAATAGAAGGGCTGGTATGTGCCTAACAAAGCCAAAATGGGCAGAATTAGTGGTGGGCCGATGGGACCCAGGCCGCCCCCTTTCCTTTAAAATTTTGTATTATTTTCATAGAATTCAGTCTCGGCCACCCCTTTTTGAATACTCGAGATCCGCCCCTGGCCAAGGACTTCTACTGGTGAAGGACTACTATAACTATAAATCATTTTTGACTGTGCTGCTTGTACAATTGTACCTTTCCAAAGAAAACGGGAAGGGGGTCTCTATTTAAAGGGTGAAGCTATCCTTATTGTGCTATATATTCAGCACTGCAATAGAACCTTTTATGTTATTATGTGTCACATAAACTATCTCAGTCACAGTACATACCATAGCAATTGAGAACTTGAACTGTGTCCAAGCACTTATTTTTTTGTGAGGTCCTCTTCGCACTGCTGACTCAGCAACATTCTCTCTGCACACAAATGAGTATGTTGCATTAAAAAAAGCTGCGCTGAAAACTATTAACTAACGAGTCAGCTTACATTATTTATGTTATCCATTTACATACACTGAAAGGTTGCATGAATAAATTAAAGCTCTTTGCCACAAAGTAGGGTGCAAGGCTGTGGGAAATCTGACCTTAGGGTTGACGTTCAAGTTATCTGCACACCTGATGGAAGAAGGGTCAATTCTTGCCAAAACAATAACTTAAATATGTATTAAATTTATAATATTGTCCCTTCCTAATGGGGAATTATTTCTTGAGAGAACAGCGGCAGAACTAAAACTTGCTGGAATCATGCTGAAACGGCCAAAAATGCAAAGAGCACACCAAAAATTTAAAAAAGGAGAAAACATAAGAACTTCTGATGTGTTTTTATTACTATTTTTGACCCCTAATAATATGACAGCTAAAATCTCCCTACACACCCTTATATCGATTCTCACTTGTGAGCTGGGGTTACCTATGTTTTTTTCCAAATGCGTCCCCCTCAGGAGGAAAACAGGTTACAAGTTTTTGTTACATGTACCTAATGTCTCGCTTTCGCCTGATTGATGTTGGCATTTCTTTCAGAGACTTTCTCCTGTTTGTGAGCTCTGCAAACTCTTCTGCTGTGAGGTTTGTTGGCACATCACGCAGCACATCATCTTCATAGTCATAAACACTTGAACCATCTGAGACATCTGCTCCACCATCGTAAGAATGGCTTCTGATAGAACCCCGTGATTTACGAACCCGCTGTTTCAGCGTTCTCCTCATCCCTTGCTTAAATGTATTTGCAGATGGAAGACCTCTCATGGAGCGAAACTGATGACTAGGCATGCTTTTTTCAAATGCCTCATCATCATTCCAATAGTCTTCATCGTCACTGTCTCCAGCAGTTGCACCTCCTTGTGGCTGAACATGGACCATGCTTGAAGCATTACTACGATATGTTTCAGTAGATGCCATTGATTCCTGAGATGGTATTCTCAAAAGTTTGCTTCTTCTTTCATCAGGAACTTTCAACACAAAAACAGGCATTAATTTGTGCAAGCCATCAACACATTACCCAATAGTCTCCTTGTACAGGTACTCATGCTCATGTGTATGCTAAGCAAAACCTGATCTCATAAGGTTTTAAAGCACTGATGGTTTTTTTGTGTGTGTATGTCCAGCAAAAAACATCTTATGTTTAGCTAGGAACTACAATAAAAATTAAGTACACACTATTTTAATCATTAACAAGCATAAATTATCATGTAACCTGTGTTTTGTTTGATCTACTTTAACTACTGTAAAAGAAGAGCTTTCTTTAAAATGGTTGAGCAATGTTTAATAAGGCCCTCTTGCATATAGGGAGGGTACACAGGTCCCTAGTCTGAATTTCAATTATGGTCATTTCACATTTTGAGGAGTTAGGCTGCGTGCAAACGGACGCAACATTGTTGGATGTTACATGTTGTTGGATGTTGTTGTGTGTTGTTGTGCAAAGTTTGAAACCGTTCCAACTTTGTGCAAATTGTTGGGAGTTGATGTGCCCATTTGCACGTAGCCTTCAGGCCATGTCAACCCCCTGTCACTCAGTATTTCAGCCATTTTTCTCTTGTTTGTTGCCATTTCATGCAATCTTATGTTGCTGTTTCAAGGCCATGTTGCTTTTTGGAATATAACCCTTAACAGGACCTCTTAATTGCCCTACCATCAACCCCGGTGAGATATTTGCCCAGTAGCAGACCATCTGAACTGTTCGAGGTATTGTGATGTCACGCACGACATGTGATCCCATACATTTACAGTGTTTCATAACACCCGCTCTCGGGTTGATTCAAGTGATCGGGAGAAATGCTATGTGATCATAAAACAAAAAATTTTGCACCTATTGATCCCAAATGTTGATATAATGCAAGAAAAATGTATGAAGATTAATTACTGTATGTTTTCAGTGGCATATTCTGCGTTTTTGTGGCATTAACTGTCGCTTGAAACTGACACGCTGACTGAAAACGCCACAAAACGCAGTTCGGATGGTCCACCTGTGGTATTATCACACAAGGCATGATTTAGTGAATTGCTGGACCATACAATTCGCATGAAGCTGAGCCTGATTAAGAATTCATAAACAGAACAGTTCTGCAGTCAAATCTGTCATCTCCTTTGCTTTACCTCTCTGATCATTACAATAGCTCATCTCAAAAGAGCCTAAAAATTTGCTATAAACTGATATGATGGCTATATTTAAGGGTAGCAGATTAACTACCAACTCGCAGGAGAAACATATCTGAGAACGATATATTCATAATCTTCCATCACATACAGGTGACTTCGAGATGTATAATAAGGTCCCTTGGGAGACTAAATGAAGTTAGTGACCCTTTTATAGTTATTCTAACCAAACCAAAGCAGATTATTTCACTTTATAGTAAAGACTGCACCTTTAAGAAGTATACCTGAGTAAATTAAAGAGAGTCCTGACAAGACTGAAAACGTTTCTAACGAAAATGTTTGTATAACAGGATTTTTCGTGACAGTTTACGGCACCTTTCAATTTCAGCACAAAGGACGAAACACCCTCAATTTTCTCATTGAATCTCAACACAAAAGCATTGAACACAGGCATATTATCTCCTAAAGTGTAACTTAACGTCCTATGATTATTCAAGACCCACATTTTCATACCTTGTACGGAAAGAGATCGAACGTTGCTGATCAACAATATTTCCTCCCCCGATCCAGCGAAAGCGCAAATATAATTAAAATAAGTACGTCAAAGGGAAATTTGCATACAAACGATGCTTTCCTTTTTGAGTTCCCATAACAACAACATGAAAAGGATTGTTTCTGCTATTTTTGAGTTAATTGTGCCACTGATGCGAAGAGAATTGGATACAAAAGAATGCACCGACTGATCAACATACAATTCGCCATTGGCAAATTTCAAATCTCATGAATTCGTTTTTAATATATGTTAACAAGGAGGTATTCTGAAATAAGCCAAGGTAATGAACTGAACTGTGGGCAATCTCAGACTCACAGATGTTAAGAGTGTTTTGTGTAAAAACTTCAATCGACCAAACGCCAATTTCACGCTACTTGCATTAGTAAGCTTATGATTGCTTACCTTTACCGCTTGTCTGCAGAAAGCTAAATGAAGAAGATATGTGCGCACCGCTTCGCTCTTAAATTATTTTCGAGATTTTATTTGAATGGAAATTGAAATAAAAAAAAAAGCTTATCGTTTTTCTCGTTCAATAAAATCACTGTAGGCTGAAACAAAAGACTGTCCCGATGAGTACCATATCAATAGCCTGTTACCTCTGATGGAATTCAAAGTCATCGTTGAATTTTTGACGAGTGAAGTTAACTGAATTGATAAACTTACCAAAGGATTGATTAACTTGTCCTGTTGGATCACCAGAAGGCGGTCTCTCTTCGTTTTCCCCTGCATGGGGACGAAAGTCCAGAAAACTCCCTGGTGCACTGGACCCGTCGTCATTTCCGAGTTGGTGAGACATCATGAGGTCAACAGTTGATAACACAATTTGCCAGCTGCCTTCAGAAGTCAATTCTAATTCAGTATCATTCTTTGCTTCAGTTGTTCTTTATCACATAATGGTACATACACCGAACAAATTTCATCATATTCTGATGAAAGATCGAGGAAGGAGCTCCACGCGCCACCACGCAAGCGGAGTTCAAGGAATGTCGAGAAAGACTGGATACTAGGAAGTCAAGTGTAACTGGAGAATCTTTGTGAAAATCTTTGTCACATTTGTCTTATCGCCGGATCTAAATCTAAATCTAAATATCGTTATGTCGGCAAAATCGTTTGGGACATCACGCCAACTCTAAGATAATAATAAATAAAACTATACTAAAATATACAAAACTATTAAAAACTATTAAAAACTACTGATAAAAAATAAAACTAAATTAGTTTGCTTTTAAAAATACAGAGGGATTGGCTGGAAACAGTTTCTTCTGGAAGTTTGTTCCATTCAGTTATTGTCCTGGGAAAAAAAGAAAATCTAAAAATATCTTTATGTCCTTTCGGTACAATAAATTTAAAATCATGGCTTCCCCGGGTTCTCCTTTCTTTGCTTGTTATCAAATAATCCCCCCAATCCCCATCTAGGAGGCCGTGGCACATCTTGTATATAGTGGAGAGCCTTGCGTGTCTTCTCATTGTTTCAAGTGTGTCCCACTGTAGGTCTTGCAGCATTTCCGTCACGCTCGTTGTTCGATCGTAATTTCCAGTTGCGGATTCGCCGCAACGACCGCCGCAACAAGTCGCACAAAATCAAATCAGACTAAATTTGTGCGACTTGTTGCGGCCAAAGAATTCTGTTGCTGGGACAAATTCTCCAATACACACAAGGTGATTCGTTGCTGCTGCGAAGTGTCGTTCAACCTGTTGCAGCAACTCAAGTGACAGGAATAATCAGATGGGGGCAAAAAAATCAAAACCCGAAAAAATCCCTGGAGCAAAATTAACCCCCAAAAAATCCAAAGCCGAATTTCCGAGTCTTAAAAATATCCAAAAGGCATTAAATGGCATAACACGGAAAATAAATTTTTTAAAACCCAAGTTTGGTTGTACTTTATTCGCAGAATTCAGCCGGCCCGGCTGGGATACGCGGGAACTACAACGAATCTTCAGATTGATTTGAATACCACAAAAATCCATAATTAAATCAAGCCACCCTCCCAAAAAATTTGCCAAATTTTCCTACCCGAAAAAATCCTTCGATCATCCCCGTCACCTGAAATCCGGCGCACCCCCCTAGACGATAGCGCCGTATCGTTAAAAAAAACTGGGCGAGAAATAGCGAGTTCGTCGTTAAAGTTATAACTAGTGAAAAAGAGGGTTAAAGGGGGTTAGGAGAGAAAATAAAAAAAAAATGATGAAAGGTGAGTTTCTAACTGGTTTAACTGTACATTATAGTATGCATGGCCCTGCCTTTCTTCCTCTTTTTTCCTTTATTTCATGTACAGGCATGTGATCGAAACTGAAAATTCGTGCCGACCTGAAAATTCCCCAGCCCCGCCCCTCATCCCATCAGTTCAGTAATAGTCCGCCCTAAAAATAATCTGATTCTTGTTCTTGTTTTGTTGTTGTTGTTGTTTTTGTTGTTGTTGTTGTTAAAAAGCAATCTAAGTTAAAAAAATGTGGCACTTCACATTACATCTAACCTTTGATTCACTTTACTTCAAAAACAGGTTCCTGACTAAAACTAGCAAAACGAGCGACATGAATCCAAGGTATACAATACTACGCATGTCCTACCCAACTTAGCTTAGGCCCCAAGCCACACTACCCGCTGCCAAATAAGGTCAGAGGTGCAAGTGAAAATTTCTTAAACTAGTACTTGTATGCTAGTGGTCATGTACCCTCTAATTTATTATAACCTCACACTTATATTTTGGACTCCTCTATTTACTTAGATGGGACAATGACCAACACGAAAGCTTCGGCTACTTCAGGTCACTGTGCACTTATCAAGAAACCTGTATATTATATTTACTTTTCATCGTTTGTTAACCTACTGATTCTGTAAGCCATCTTATACTGTGTATCAACTTGAATAGTGCGAAATGAACTTCAACTTGAACTTCCTACGTAGGTTTAGGAGCAGGCCAGGGTAAACTGCAACTGTACAAACATAGTCTCGGAGGCAGACAGGCACCTTTCGTTCACGTCTCGGTCTTTTTGGAGTATGGCACAGTTTACGAAATGATTCATCATTAGTTAGAGAACACCTCTGTGACGGTAGCAGCAGGGTTTCCAACCATTCTGATTCGACGTCTCCAGCGTCAGCTAAGGTCCCTTGAGTCCGTTGCCACACATCCGGGGGAGGGGGGGGCTTCTCTTCTATTGAGGTGGGCCACCCATTGAAGTGGAAATCCTTCAGCCTCTGACGACGTTTTCCTGGCTTCTTTCTCTCCTCCTCAAAGCAATAGGTAACACCAGACAGAGTCTTCAAAACCCTCCAAGGACCACACCACGGCTTGAGGAATTTTCTCTTCTGGTCCTAGTTTGGTCTTTACGTGGAACCAAACACTATGGTACTTGATGTCGTAATAAGCTTTTAATTTCAAAAACTTTCTCTCTCGTTAGTTACCGTGTCTCCTCAAACTGCTGTTTTTGCTGAGCAAAGCAATTGGAGTATAGCTGCTCTTCCCCTTGGGATGGTGATATTTCGAACCTCAGAAACCACCCAATAGCAAGACAGCTTCCCTGTAGTACATCTGGCGGTAAGAGGTAAATCCAGTAAATTCATGCACACTGCCCGGTGTTGTAAGCAAGAACTGCTTTCGGCACAGAGTCTGTCCAGTCGCCAGTTGACCAGAAATCAGCTTAGACAGGATCGTCTCCAGAGATTTGCTCAGTCTCTACACCTGCCCATCCCCTTGGAGGTCACGTGTTGTCCTAAACCGTCCTTAAGAAACAGACGATATCCGTTTGCACTTCCCTCTAAGGGGTCTGAAACCAGTTGAAAGCCACTTTACGACTTGCGACGGGACAGGATCTGGGTTCTGGGTCGCATGTATACTATCACTTGACAGGGGGTTACTTATGTGGAATTGTTTAGAGATTTGTTGTATGCTGTAGAAGAATATAATTTCCTGAAATTTGTGTTGCCAATTTAGATGACAGGCCATTTTTTTTTGTTTTTACTGTAATATTTACGAAATGAAGCCATATATGTTTGAGATATTTAGAACTTTTTCGAAAACAATTCGAGATATTTAGAAAAAAAATTTGGAATTTCCGGAAACATATTTAGGCGATTTTTCGTGATATTTTTATCTAGGCCTAAGAGAGGGTACATTTGATCACTTCCCCACCATTTTGTGCGGAAAATTGAACTTTCAAAACGCTATATCTTTTGAGTGGATGGTCAAGTTTCAATTTTTTTTTTCAATTTTGACATCCTTATGGTGATTTCTTTCAGAAACCACCATCAGATATCTTATAACACTAAAAACAAAATTTGGCGGGAACTTTGTGAGATCATTTTCCCGCCAAAAATACCAAACTCTGAAAAACAAAAAACATACAATTTTAGGGAATAGGCTTTGGTAGATTGTGCTAGCATAATTTTAAGCATAATTCAGCAAAACGAGCATTATTTAAAGGTTTTATATCAGTTTAGCACTGCTGGCATAATCCGAGCTTTTATGCGTTGAAAACCCATCATAGCTCTAGAATAATTCAGTTTGTATTTTATTTCTGTATTGTTTTTGGAAAATATTGAGGTCCATGGTCAAATATGGTCCGGCAGGCGGCAGAGGTCACCCTGTGCATAAGACTGAGACTCCGGCCACCACGCTTATGGCTCGGTGGCTCGGCCCCTCAGATGGCGTCGTCCTCGAGTACATCCACTTCCACCACTTCCAGTGCCGTACCGAGAGCTTTAATCTCTAGAGAACGTGTTCCTAAAAGTAATACCGGAAAGTACAGGCAAAGAGGTAACTCAGATCCAAAGAACATGAGTCCTCGTGATCGAATCGAAGAATTCCCAGGGGAAAATTTGTGTCTTCGACGTGGAAAACTGTTTTGCAATGGGTGTAAGGAGATATTGAGCTCTAAAAAGAGCATTCTCAAAAACCACCTGGCTTCCAAAAAACTTGCCGCAGGAAAAGAGAAGTTAAAAGTGACAAAAAAGGCGAGATCATGTGCGCACATGTGTATTTGTCATGCTAAAGACTGTAAGACTGGAAGGTGGACCATGTGATTGTTCGTTAAAGTCAAAATTGATAGAGTTAAGCTACTGATGATCTTTATTTTCCTTAAAATCAGTGTAAAATCTAAGTAGCATAATTTCGGTGACAGAGAGCATAATTTTCAGAAAGTAGCATAATTTTGGCATAATTTCTAAAAAATATGAGCACTGCTAAAAGCATAATATGCTTTTTTTTCGAGCACAATCTACCAAAGCCTATTAGGGAATGGTGAGTTCTAGATTGTTGCAAATTTTCAAGTGAATTGCGTTAAAACTAAAAAAGATGAATGAAAGTGAGCGTTTTTGATGTCGCATATGCCCACCGTGTTGGTAGAGCTATTTTGGACTTTTGGTATATAGATTGAATATATAGAACAAAGTGTTTGATCATTTGAATGAAACTAAAATTATTAACTAATAACCAAATAGGCCTTTAAGTTCAGCGTGAATTATTAATTGACCACTGGTCTTTATTTTTTGAACAATAACGGTCTAATAATTTTTCAATCTAACCAGCTCAGGAGCCTGGTTGCCATGTAAAAAAGAAATATACGCTGACAGAGTTTTTCGAGACGAGAATGTTTACACAAGGGAATCGTCTATGCACTAAAAAGAGTTCTCCGATGACAACGCCCTCCCCCAGTAGAACAACATAGCAAACTCATATTTAGAAAATGGAAGTTTCTTCAGAAGAGAATACCAACAATGAAAGTTCCGTGACTGGTTTGAATGCAGGATTTATAATAGGTGAAATATGATTGACCACAGTGAGTGTCGCCCCTGAATAGGACTGTTGTTTATAGTGGCTGACGTTTCGACAGCTTGTAGCCGCGGGATGGGTTTTTGAGCTTATGGTAATGGATCTTACAACTAAAATGCTCTACCGAACCTAGAAGAAAAAAATTGTAGAAAACAACTGGCAATTTAAAAGTGCCGGTTCTATTAGTGATAGAAAACATAATTGCTTTTGATGA